CTCTCTCTCTCTCTCTCTCTCTCTCTCTCTCTCTCTCTCTCTCTCTCTCTCTCTCTCTCTCTCTCTCTCTCTCTCTCTCTCTCTCTCTCGTAGGAAGGACTATGGAGGGTCAGAGGAGAATCAGAAGAAGAAGGCTCCTCCCTCTCTCTCAACTGATATTGATGACACCCGTGGTACTGACCGGCGAAGATGGTGGCTCTCTGGTGCAGGTCGCTGGAGTGAAGACCAGCTATGGAACCCAGCTACGTAGCCACCTCCTACCGCAGCCAAGACTCTCTACCCTTCGCGCTCTTACCATCTTCTACTCCGCTACCTCTAACTCCGATGTCTGTCAAACTGGACTACCACTACTCCCGCAGCATAGCGCCCAAGTGACTGGTCCAGCCGAATGTCCAAACTGGCAGACTGGCCCAGCTATATACCACTGGGCCTGGCCAGATGGCCTGAGGTCTGCGACCAGGACCATCTGACCTAGAACCCCAATCGGCGGCAGTCAATCGCAGTCCCCAAGTCCTGGTCCTGGGATCAGGACAACAAAACGGCCTGCGTGGGTCCCTATCGGGCGTCCAGGCCATCTGCAGGTGCTGCAGGAACCTGTGGACTGGGCCAGGTACAAAAAGACAACTGCCTGGTCCCAGTCCTGCCTATGGACAAAACTGAACCTGGCCTACCTCGGCCTAAACAAAATCCACTGGTCCGAAGCGGCACATCTGGAACAGACAAACATACATGGACCAGACAAAACTCAGCCCCAAACGACACATCTGGAAAAGACAGAAATAGAGCAGACAAAACTCAGCAAAAACAAATAAATACATAAATAAATGCTGAATAAAAGAGAAGTGTACGGGACAAAATATGTGCCTAGGCGTGGAAAGTGGCCGTGGCCCTCCAGGTCGCCCATGCAAAAAGAGTGCGCAGCCTGGCGGCTCAGAAAACCGTCGGGCCTCACAAAGGGGCCCGTGTAGGGGCCTCAGCAGGCTTCATGACAAATGGCTGGCTGGTTGGCTGGCTGGTTGGCTGACTGGCTTGCTGGCTGGCTCCATGACCTGCACACTGAATCTCACGTGCTTTCTGATCACAGTCATATACATTGGTATCAGTGGGACGTGGTGGGGAGCACAAAAACGTCCGTCTAGCGGACGGCCATGAACGTAGCCACAGTGAGAGTCATGATTCATAACCGGCCACAAACCTCAAATGCGTCAGCTGGCCATGAATGTAGCTGACAGGTTTCTTTTCCCGGAGACTACCACCCATCTTCCCCCGACGAGAACGCATGAAACTTCCCGCAGCTGGAATCGGGGCAACGTCAGTCTAGATACAGCGATAATGACCATGAGTTCTATTCGTGGGAAAGCTGGGTGCGATACACCCTTCCTTCCTTCCCCGAGCTCGACTCGACACCCCCTCCCTCTCCCCCCCCCCGACCATACGGGCGGGGCATGGCCACGTCAACCACAACCGTGTGCCAACAATAGCATGAAGATGCCGACGATCATTAATAATTGTCTTCCTGCTAACACAACTCACCCCCATCAGGAATGTACGCAACCCATCTCCCCGATCCGCTACATTCATGAAGAGGATGCGCTGGGTTCGAAAGAAGACGGTATACTGCATGATTGTTGAGAGTATCCTTATCATAGCACCGGCAGGGCGTGGCTGTCAACCTCAATGTGGTGCTAGCATGAACATAGACAGTTGCCACGACCAGATTCGTGCTTGAGATAGCATGAACGTGGACAACTTTGGCAACCACGTTTGTGCTTCTGGAGCACACATGGAGTCGTAGCTATGGCGGCGAGACCTCGCCCACAATCGGAACGTCTCTCTTATGAAACGATCTTGCAAAGGGAATGTCGATGCATCAACATAGACAATTGCGGCCACCGGATCCGCACTTGAGATAGCATGACCGTAGAGGCTGGTCTTCCAAACTGTCTACGGCGTAAGAGTTTAGAAGGACCAGATTTGTGCCTATGTATCACCCGCGGCCGCCGCCGCAGGGTCAAACTCGACGTGCGGCCGGGATCCCGACCGCCGCCCCTCTGGCTGCAGTTGGGGTGCGGCCACAACTTTCAGGAATTGTTTTAGGGTTCAAAAACATTCTAAAAAAAAAAACACAAAATAGGATGTTGTAGATCTTTTCGAGATCTACATTTTTTTATTTTTTTATTTTTACTTCGTCTTCGAATTTTAAAATTTCAAAAACTATCTTTCCTGAGGCACAAGCTATTGTTTTTTTTTTGATAAGAAAAACTAGGGAACTCATTTGTTTTTTTATTTCAAATTTCGTAAAGTTTTTGGATATAACCATTGGGCGAAAGGTGGTTCAGTTTATTTTTGCAAGGAACATGAATGTGGACGAAGCACAGAAATCCAGATTGCAAAATCACACTGAAGTCCAAGTAGTCAAAGCAAGCGCAGATAGCACAATGGAACCGAGTAACCATCCATTTGAGAACGATACAGAAGAATCGTGAGTCAATGTCCAAGCCCAATCGGGCAACACCAACAG